ATAGGCTTAGTGGATGGCAGTACCTCCCCTGACCATCAGCCTAGGACTTACTGTCTTGCTTCAATACCTGCCACACAGATTCCCAGCATCTGCCACCACCCTGCTCACCCCCATTCATTCACTCCAACCCTCCCAGCCTCAACCATTGTTTCTTGGAGGCTCTTAAAGCAAGAAGGAGAGCAGACCTTGCCTAGACAGCCAGCCTATCCCCAGTGGTTGTCATGGAGGCAGAAGCATGGACATCCATGATATGAGCCAAGCCAGATCCCTTTTCACCTCCCATTGGTGAGGTCTGCTCAGCCTGGTAAGGAAGAGCCTGTAACTAATATCATGGTTTGAAATTCTCCCTGCCTGATCTCTAGCTGCACTCCTTTATGTCCTAATTATATAGACATTCCTGCCTCAGATAATGAAGAAATGTGATTTCTATATTCATAGCCCTTTGGAGTCCAAGCCACACTTCTATCAGCCAGTCCTGCTCCCAAACATAAGTACACTCTGCTCTTGTCTCTCCCTGCACCGCTTTTACAACCTGCAGGTGTTTGGTGGAAGATAAAAGTGGCTCCTCGGGTGATATTTCACCTCCTAGAATTATCAAAGTAAAGGTTTCTCTTGATGTCCTCACTGTGGGTGGCAGTAATTATAAAGAATGGTTTGAAATACTGGTTTCTACATTACTTAAAAAATCTCAAGGCTCTCAAGTTCACTTGAGTAATCTTGCCCAGTCTTAGTATTGTTTCTCATTGAACTTGTGAGAGACCAGCATTCCTACCCTGGGGGAGCTCCACCTCCATCAGCCTTCTTGGGAGCTCTAGAGCTGCACATTCCTATCCCTGGTTAAGACAAGGTTCCTGAAAGATTGCCCTAATCAGACAGGAGCTAAAATGGCTTAGCAGAAGTGGCTAAAACCAGTAGGACTAAGGGAAATATCGGGATAAAGAGCTGTAGTGGTGCCCAAAATGGTCACTTTTGGAACTGAAATGAAATTTTTTGGCCTTGATGGTGCTGAAGACAGAGTCCTGGACTGGGTGGAAGAAGACTTGGCCTTTATAATGTTTTTGATTTTAGCTACRTCACTGCCTTTCTTTTGACCCTGAGTTTCCCCATCTGTAGAAGGAGAGATGTGCAATGGGAAGACCCTTCCTATTCTCAGGTTTTGTCTCCTTTCTCAGATCTTTCTGACTATTAGGGTCTGGGAAGCCCAAGAGGTCAGAAAACTTCTCCTTGATCACAGAAAGGGGGTGGAGCTAGATAGGTTTGGAGGAAGAGTAGGGTAGAAGAACTGTCCCAGAGCCCTGCAATGCCCCTTTCTGTCCTTCCCCACTGATCCCTTTGAACCCCTGACAGGGAGGTAGATAAACACCTTCCCCCTGCCTTCCTATTGCACAATTCCATCAAGCAGTCCCAGCACCAAGGAAATAAGGGAACTGGAGCAGAGAAAGTATAAGAGTCCCAGAGGAAGGCCTCACCGAGTCTGAGTCCCAGCTGGCATGCAGCTTCCAGCACTTGGGAAGCTGAGGCAGAAGGATCACTTGAGCCTAGGAGTTGAAGACTAGACTGAAGACCTTAGCTAAGACCTCCACCCCAGCTCAAACAAAACAAACTAAAACACTAAATAGTTAAATGTGTCTGAGGGAGAGGGAGAGGTACAGGAAAGACCACCCAGAAAGAAGGTCTAGAAAGCTTAGCTATGATGAAGCTGGCTAGGAGGGAAAGAGGCTGGGCAGAGAACACATTCTATTAGAGGCCAGGATGACTTGTCCTTGGCCTGAACTGTCTTCCACCACCCAGAGGGATTGCATCAGGGTTCTTCCATGGAAAATGAGGAGTTGATGCTTTGGCTCATCACCTCTCTCCCCCATACTCAAGGTGAAGGGTCATTTGCTGATCTCTTTATTAGCCTCTGGCACCCAAGATTTGATAGATGCTATTGTCTTGAAGGGAGTGGGCATGTATTCCCAGGCTTGGCCCCTAATGTAATGGGTGGGTTTGGGCATAGCCCAGAGCCACTGCTTTCCTCCTCTACATATCAGGCTCATTCACTCTGCCTGTCCCAGATAACAGAAGCCACCAAAAACAGGGTAAATGAGAAACCTGGGGGAATGCCAAGGAATGAAGTCCTGCCCTGGCTCTCTCTAATTCCCACACGGACCTTCCCCTAAAGCCAGACTGGTTACTTTCCTCAATACTGCATGTGAGAGTGTACTCCACCTCATTTTTCCTGTCACTTGTCTTTGGCCATATATCTTATCTCACTTAATCCTTATGTCAGTGTCATAGATAATGTGACTTTCCCAAGATCTCACAGCCAGTAAATGAAAGATTCAGACCTTGAACCATGTTTTTTCCTTTTAGATTCTGTCATCTCCCACCTTTCCTGCAGTTTTTCTCACTTCTGGAAAACTTCCTCAGTACCTCAGCACACAGTGGTTCCCCTCTTGGTCTCTGTTCTCCCCTCAGCCTATAAACTCCATTTTTAAAGATTTTAAAAATAAAACAGGTACCCTACAACCTCTAGACCTCCACAAAGGGTTTAGACACATGAAAGACCCCAAGACTTATTTGTCTCATGAATCAGTAATTAAATTTAATCCTCGGTAATAAATAATTTTATTAAATTGCTTCTATCCTTTGTTATTCTTCAGAAACTGTCTCTGGTTTGGGCCCAAGACACACATATCCTCATCCAGTGGAAGTGACAGTGAAGTAAGCCCACTCAATGGGAAGCAGGTTGCTTGCAGAGGGGAAAGAGGAGCTTCTTTATTCCTCCTGTTATTTACCTGGGGTCTCTGGCTTTAGCTGTACCTGAGCTCAGCTACATTCAGGAAATCATTTTGTTGAGAGAAAGAAAGGTTATTTTGGAGCTTGCCACAGCCAGAGGGGACTAAGCTCTACTGAGGTTGGAACTGCAGACCCGCTTGTCTCACATTATTCTTTGGACTGATTGGCAAGAGATTTTCTCAGTAGGCAGGCCCTGCCTTGGAATCATCCATTAAAATGCTGGACTTTCTTTATATACAGAGTTACAAAAAAATGGTGCTGTGAATGGATAATTATGAATGTAATACACTCCACTATTGTCATGTATATAAGAAATAAAAAAGAAAATTAAAAAAAGAAATTCTGGACTTTGCCACAATTGTTAGTGGTAGAAGCAGAATAAGTTCCAAAGCCCAGGTGTTTCAAATCTATTTCTCCATGGACTTTATGTCTTGCAGAGTCTGGTAAGAAGGAAGATCTCAAGAGCTGCTTAAAGTAAAGTAGGTCTTCTCTAAGTCCTGGTGACATCCATTGCTAATCTTAGGCCATTCACTGTCTAACTACAYCCCCAAGGCAATGTAGGGACCTATAGCCTAGTTTAGACTGTTTCTGTTTCCAGAAATTTGCTAGGAGTATYGAGTGGGACCCACTCCTCTATGACAGGGAGGAAGAAAATACTGTGCACATATTCAGTTACCACTTGGCCAACAGTATTGTAGACAATAGTTCCTCCCCATTTTGCTGGATGAATGGACAAATGGAAGCAGCAAACTTGTTAGGTATTCACCCCCTCAACCTGAAGTTTCTCTTTCCCTAGAACTGAGGTTCAGAAGAGGTGTTCACACAAATTTCCAAAAAATAGATTGGCAGTGTACAGCAAGATCATGAAAACGTTCATACTTTTTGACCCAAACAACCTTATTTCTGGGTATATGTCCTCAGGACATTCTGCAAATGATTGTTACAATGACAATGTAGTAACATGAAATGTTTATGATGTAATGATAAAAAAAAAAAAAAAAAGTCTAGGGACTGGGGATATGGCTTAAGTAGTAGCGTGCTCGCCTGGCATGCGTTAGGCACTGGTCCGATCCTCAGCACCACATAAAAATAAAATAAAGAAATATATTTTTTTAAAAAGTCTGGAAGAATTGACCAAGAACTTGGCTAGAGATAATAGTACTTGTGCTAGAATAATGAATTTATTACAGATTTTTTTCTCTTTCCCAAACTTTACATATTGGAATATTAATTTTTATTCTACTTTGCCACTCAGAGTTAATTGGTCAGGAACCCAACAGAAACAGCACACTGAGATGAGATAGTTAGAGGAAATACTTCCTCTTCCCCTGTTTCCAGTCCTTGACACCCTGGTTTATTCAACTCGCAATGACTCATTCAATGATTATTGAGCACCTATTTACTGTCTAGTGAGGAAAGCAGACTTTCAAGTACTGTACATAAAATATTTCATCATAAATGCAATAACACATATACATTGAGTGTTATGAGGAACATAAAGAAGCAATTATCTGCCAGGAGGGAGATGTGACAAGGAAGGCTTCAAAGAGAGGTTAATTGATTCAAGTTGTTTTGAAGATAATCTGCCAAGACAAAAGGACCACATGTACAAAGGCAAGTACGCTTGGAACATCATGATGTGTTTAGGAAATTATAGGTGACTTTTCAGAGCTAGAGGGAACATTGGATGGGTGAAAGGTAGCACCTATGAAGAAAAAAAAAAAAAGTTATAATGTACACAGGGCCCTGTGCTTCAAGCAGACCTTACGCTTTTGGAGCTGTCATCAAATTTGCATTTTAAATGTCTCTGGCTTCCGTGGCGGGTGTACTGAAGGGAGCAAGAACGAAAACTGAGAAGAATGGAGTTTGGCCGGAAAGGGAAGAAAGTGTGGTCCTAACTGGGCCAGCAGACGCTCTTTCTCAGCCCCCGCCTCTCCTGAATTTAGCTTACCCGCTCCCGGGTCTCCCTCCCTTCTCCTCCCCGAGGGCCCCGCGGGCGGGCGCGGCAAAGCCTGGGGTGGCCCTGCCTGGGTGGTCTCCTGCCCCGCCCCCTGCGGCGCCGTTACCTAGCAGCGGATCCGGCTGCTCCGCTCCGGGTGATTTGCCTGCCCCTCAGCCAATGGGAGGGCGTCGCCCCGGCCCGCTCCCTTTTTCTGGGACTCCAGCCGCCTTCCCGGCACTGCAGTCGCCACCTAGAGCTGCGGGGTGCATCTCAGAGGCCCGCCAGTTCCACCTACACGCGAACCCACTTCGGCGGTCCAGAGTGCCTTCTCGCCGCGCCCCGGGCCCGCACAGCCCCCCGCTCCCCCTCTCATAGCCGCCCCTGCACATCTTGCACCCCACAGTGTCACCCACGCCTACGCCCTCGCGGCCCCACTGAAGCCCCACAAGGGGTCTCGCGGTACAGGGGGCCAGGCTAGCCTATGGGAGCGCCGAAATAACACAGGTTGGGGGCGTCCGCGCCCCCAATCCCCGCCAGCATGGCTCAGCCACTGCCTCCCCGAGAACTGCCACCTGGCTACACACCCCCGGCTCGACCCGCAACACCTCAGGTGAGTAGAGGGGAAACGAAGAAGGAAGGGTGGGGTCTTATGTCACCGGGGCCTCTGCAGGGTATGATGGCTTTAAATGTGTAGTTTGGTGTTCCTGTTTGAAGACAGGGTGAGAGCTAGCATAGCTGTGCAAGTTGTATGTATGTGTGGGTTTAACCTCTGTGTCCACATGACAGCAGGTGTGTGTGTGTGTGTGTGTGTGTGTGTGTGTGTGTGCCCTATTTTCAGAAAATGGGTCTGTGCCTTCCTCAGGTGTTGTGGGAAGGTAGAGGGGAATAGCGTTAAATCTTACAATATAAGCCTATGTCTGCTGGTGCTCCCTGAACTACATCAAGAAGCATGGGCTTGGCAGAGGGTGTATACAGGGAGAGAAGGGAAGGCTTTCTTGCTGTTACAGTGACACCTGACTGACCCTTCTCTTTCTGTCCCAGATCCTAGCTGGGAGCCTGAAGGCTCCACTCTGGCTTCGTGCTCACTTCCAGGGCCTGCTCTTCTCTCTGGGCTGTGGGATCCAGAAACACTGTGGCAAAGTGCTCTTCCTAGGATTGTTGGCCTTTGGGGCCCTGGCACTGGGTCTCCGCGTGGCCGTTATTGAGACAGACCTAGAACAGCTCTGGGTGGAAGGTGAGTTWTGGACACTAGCTGTAGCTGCTTGGGCACGTTAAGCCCAGGACAAGAACAGGGCAAGGAGCTGGCCATTGAGCCCTAGCAGGCCTGGCCAAAGATCTAGAGGGGAATCTATGGCCCAGAATCTGTACACCTGGGCATGTTGGAGCACCTGTACCATAATCTACAGATGATAGCATCCTTTAATGTGTATGTTGAATTCATTTATCTGTGATTATATGTATTTATTTAGCATTTTTTGTCAACCTTCTCTGTGTATATTTTTATGGTATAACAGCAACTAGAATAAGACCCATCTTTCAGTATCAAGGAAAATAAAATATGTGCTAGGATAACTATGTAATAAAAGCCGGATATGATTATGATGTGTAAGAGAAGGCAGAGAAGCCAGGCATGGTGGCACACACCTGTAATCCTAGCAACTTGGGAGTCTGAGGCCACCTGAGCAATTTGGTAAGACCCTGTCTCAAAATAAAATTTTAAAAAAGGTCTGAGAATGCAGATCAGTAGTAGAGCACTTTCCCAGCATGCTAGGCCAGGGTTCAGTCCCCAGCACAGCCAAAAACAAACAAACACACAAAGCAGAGAGAGGTGACTTCTGACTAGGAAAGTTAGGACTATAGTTCCAGCTACTCACGATGCTGAGGCAGGAAGATTGCTTAAGCCCAGAAATTCAAGGCCACTCAAGGGAACATAATGAGACCCTGTCACAAAAAAAGAAAGAGATAAAGAAAGAAAATTTTGGACCAGAAGTCTGGCAAACTGAATAAACCATCTGGCAAGCCTCTGGGGAAAGGGGTCATGCACCCAGGGATCCTGCAACTAGTAAGTGGAGAAGCAGCCACAGACTCTACACTTTGAGGTTAGATGAGATCAAATCCTCACTTTCTAATAGAAGCATTAGTAAAAGTAACTTCTTATTAATATTTTTAGCATGAGACCTGTTTTGGGACAGCCCTTTGACAGAGTTCAATTTTGCTGTTCTTCCCTGGGAAATTTGTATTTGTGGGCTACTCTAGACCTCTCTCAGCCCTGGCCTATGCTCAAGGGCAGGGCCCAGGTTGAAGTCTCACACCCTTGAGTCATTTCAAATGCTGGCAAGTCCTAGGATCCAGAGCAGATGTTTCTTAGAGTCTGCTGCCTGTTGGTCTCCCACACCCCACCCCACCCTACCCCTTTCCTCTGCAGATTCTCATACACTCATGCTTTAGGCCAGCCCTGGGGTCCAGAGCAGATGTTTCTTTCTGCCTGCCTGCCCCCAGCCCCAAGATACACATGCACATACACATACCCCGACTCAAATCACTGCTGCCTGGGTGGTCTCAAATGACTTGGATTTCCTGCCACAACTGAGGCAGTTTCCCTTTCCTTCCTCTTTCTCTGTTCCCCTGATCTTCTCCATCTAAACACTGCTTGAACTTCCAAGTTTCATTATCCTCTCTTCTGCCCTCCAGCATAGGAAGGGATAGACACCACCAGTTTTTATAAAAGCATGGTAGCCAATTCCTAGACCCTTTTTTTTTCCCCAGCCCTTTTTATTTTTTTTTTTTATTTTGAGACATGGTCTCCCTGTGTTGCTTAGGGTCTTGCTAAGTTGCTGAGGCTGACCTCAAACTTGCAGTTCTCCTACCTCAGCCTCTCAAGTAGCTGGGATTACAGGCATGCAGCGCTATGCCCAGCCTTAAGCTGTTTTCCCTTATTACAGATATCACTCTGTCCTGTGTTGGTTGAGGGTGAGGTAAAAGCAGTGATTATAATGTGATCATTTCCTTATCTGTAGCTGAGGCTTCTCCTTCAATTCCTAAACAGTGAGGAGCCAATCAAAATGAAGACTAAAGGATATTTTATGTTCTTTCTCATTTGGCTAATATAAAAAACAGAGGGAGGGCTGGGATTGTGGCTCAGTGGTGGAGCATTTACCAAGCATGTGTGAAGCACTGGGTTCAATTCTCGGCACTGCATATAAAGCCCATTGACAACTAATATATATATATATATATATATATATCATGATTGAGTTCATTAAAAAAAAAAAAGCAGAGGGAGAAGTAGGATATTGGCTATCAGAGTTCAAGGTTCTCCCCAGTTTTGCCATGGTGAGACTTGGAATTTGACTTGTTTGCCATTCCTGAACAACTTACTTTCTTTTTTTCTTTTAGAATGGCCCCCAGGCCTTGTGCATGCTAAATACACCCCTAGCTCTGGTTAACCTTAAAACCAAAAGGCTCAGAGGAAGATAGTTCTCTAAAATAAAAAATCACAGCGTGTAGGCCAAATTATATTTACTGGAATGAGACAGAGATAGTTTGAAATTGGAGCTATTCTTAAAGATAAGAAATAGGGGGCTGGGGTTGTGGCTCAGTGGTAAAATGCTCGCCAAGCATGTGTGAGGCACTGGGTTCGATCCTCAGCACCAAATAAAAATGAAATAAAGATATTGTATGTCCACCTACAACTAAAACATAAATATTAAAAAAAAAGATTAAAAAATAGGGCTGGAGGTATAACTCAGTGGTAGAGCAGTTGCTTTGTATGTTTGAGGTCTTGTGTTAGATCCCCAGCACTGCCAAAAGAAAGCAAAGAAGGGGCTGAGAATATAGCTCAGTTGGTACAGTGCTTGCCTTGCATGCATAAGGCCCTGGGTTCAATTCCCAGCACACACACACACACACACAAAAAAAAAAAAATGCAGAGAGAGGATAAGGAATATACAGCTACTCACGAAAGCAGGGCCTGCCTATGTATCAATTGATAGAACCACCATCCATCCACTCAAGCATCTACAGCTAAATCCTTGAGAGTTTGCTTCGGTTCTCACTCACCTAAATTTAACGATTTGGTTACAAAATTCTTCCCTTTTAACCACTGTCACAACAAACCCATCCTTCCTACCCTTGTGGTCACTACTCTGGTTGAGACCTTTCTCAGTCTCCTTCAAAAAACACTCCTAGTTGTGTCATTTAGAATACTTTTAGCCACATGAAAGAATGAAAGGAAAGGAAGACAGGTGAGAGGGAAGGAGGGAGAGAGGAAGAAGATTGATCCTCGTTAATAGGAAGTCTGGCAGTAGAGAAGTTCCAGAGTGGTTAATCCAGCAGCCCAAGGACATCAGCAAGGACTCAGGTTCTTTCTATCTTTCTCTGTGCTATCTTCCGCTCCTTAGACTTTTGTCCTCAGGCGATATTATCCCAACATGGTTTCTGCTGTGTAAGAAAAGGCAGTCACCTCTCTTGCATCCCTTTTTAAAATAAGGGGAAAATTTACCCCAAGCCTCAATAGCTGATCTTCCATTGGGGTTCTTTGGCAAAAACTGTAGCTTCCTGTGCCTAAATGCTCCATTTGGCAAAGGCAACAGAATTATGTGATTGGCTTCTACGACTCCCAGGTTTCACCCTCTGATGCTGGAGAGGAGTCAAAGGCCTTTCAGAGATGGCCAGTTAAACCAATCTGTTAGAAAGGAGAAAGGCAGCCAGGTGTGGTGGCACATGCCTGTAATCCCAGGGGCTTGGGAGTCTGAGGTAGGAGGATCACAGGTTCCAAGCTAGCCTCAGCAACTTAGCAAGTAAGCAACCTAGTGAGACCCTGTCTCAAAATAAAATAAAATAAAAAGGGCTGGGGATGTGACTCAGTGATTAATCATTCTTGAGTTCAATCCCTAGCACACACAAAAAAGAAAGGAAGAAAAGAAAGAAAGAGAAAGGAAGGTAGAAGATTTGTCAACCTCACCTTCATATCTGCCTCCACACCGTCCTTGTGTTGTGTCTAAATCTGACCAAGTCAGTACCCTGCATAGAGCCCTTCCATCAATTTCTATCAGATTCTGTAAAGTCTCTAGAATCAAATATAAGCCCCATAGCACATTCTAGGCCCTCTTGAGCATTGTCGCCGGCTCCTCCCTAACAATATAGAAACTCTAAGCCTTTGATAATTCTCTGAATATTCTGGGTCCCGAACACCTTTTCCTGACTTCTTCCCTGGGCCAATTCTTATTTGTTAGGTGATGAAAATGTCAGATCATCTCACATCTCTGCTCAAAACCTACTATGATTCCCATTTCACTCAAAGAAAGTCTTGAGTCCCTACAACAGTTCACTGCCCTTACGTGTGAAATTTCTGGGCCAGAAATTATGAGAATAAATATTGCAATATTGCTTTCCTCCAAATAGGATACCAAATTATACTCCCACGGTAGACACCTATAAGCCAGAAATAATTGCCATCATTTTTTAAATTTTTAGCAGACTTCAGTGGTGCACACCTGTACTCCCAGGAACTAGGGAGGCTGAAGCAGGAAAATTGCAAGTTTGAGGCCAGCTTTGGCAATTTAGTGAGACCCTGTCCTGATTTTTTTTTTCTTTTTTTTTTTTTTTTTTTTGTACCAGGAACTGAACTCAGGGGCACTGAGCCATGTCCCTAGCCCATTTTTGTATTTTATTTAGAAACAGGGTCTTGCTGAGTTGCTTGGGGCCTCATTATGTTGCTAAGACTGGTTTTAAACTCACGATCCTCCTGCCTCCACCTCCAGAGCTGCTGGAATTACAAACATGTGCCACCTGGCTCAATTTTTTTTTTTTTTTAAAGGGTTGGCGGGGCTGGGGATGTGGCTCAAGTGGTAGCGAGCTCGCCTGGCATGCGTGCGGCCCGGGTTTGATCCTCAACACCACATACMAACAAAGATGTTGTGTCCGCCGAAAACTAAGAAAAATCAACATTAAAAAATTCTCTCTTTCTCTCTCTCTCTTTAAAAAAAAAGAAATTAAACAAAACAAAAAAAAAGGGTTGGTAATGTAGCTTAGTGACAAAACACCCCTGGGATCCATCTCCAGGGCCACAAGGAAAATATATATATATATATATATAATACAAAATGGTAGATAGTTACTTGTTGCTGTTTAAACTTATAGGATTACCTACCAGATGGACTCCTTTTCCATGTTGGTTAACCAGTTATGTTTTCCCTTTGGTGAAGGTAGAAAAGTTTTTACCAAGCTTACTATTGATTTTGATATCCTCCTTCCCCTGTTCTCCTGTTTCCTCCATACTTACCCACAATCTTTTCTCATTTTTTTTTCACTTTTGGCAATTATTGAATAACAACTCCACATCTGCACTTACCATGAGCCAGGCAATTTCCTAAGTGCTTTTCCTGTGTTGATTCTAAACTTACCGAGAGAGTGGCATTGTTCCCATTTTGCAGATAAGTAAATTGAGACTCAAAGAGAATAAGTAATTTGTCCAAGACACAGAATAAGTGTTGGAGCCAGGGCTCAAAACCAAGTCTTCTGTACAATGGATTGCAAGTTTAAAGCCAGCCTCAACAAAGCAAAAAACTAAGCAACTCAGCAAGACTGTGTCTCTAAATAAAATACAAAATAGGGCTGGAGATGTCGCTCAGTGGCTGAGTGCCCCTGAGCTCAATCCCCGGTACCACCCCCAAAAAGAGAGAGAGAGATTGGGAAACTAGAGATGAGTGGTGCATGTCTATAATACCAATTACCTGGGAGGCTGAGGCAGAAGAATTGCTTGAGCCCAGGGAATCAAGACAGCTGGGCAACATAGTGAGACCCTATCTCTCAAAAGAAAAAAGAGAGAAAGAGTTAGAGATTGGGGACCATGATAATCCTAAATGAGACTAGAGTCTCAGAGAAGCAGCATGTATTGGTCCCAGGAATAGGAGCAACCAGCAAGAAGAGACCCCCAGACAAGTGGAAGCAGAAGTAGGTCTGAGACCAGACCAAGTCCACAAAACTCCTTGGCCCTCATCTTCCTCCAAATCATAGTTAGGTTATATCCCCTCACAGTGTCCCCACCTTCCCCAGGCCCCACCATAACTCCTTTGCCAGCATAATTCAGGACAGGACTTGAGGAATGCTAAGATCAAGGAGACTGAGGCAGGTCTGGCACCAGGAAGTCTGACTCATAGTCTGTACAATGAGGCTAGTGAAGGGGATCTGGACTCCTTGGCCCACTTTGATTTCACCTCTACCAGGGCACACAAACTGCTTCCATGTACTTCCTTTCTGAGTGGGTGGGAGCATCACGAGGAAAGACTGGTCCTCCCTGTCACCTGGGCCACCGTGAGGCCCATCATTACCAGACACTGCCATTCCTGACCCTTCCAGAGCAGTTTGCAGAAAGGTGTGTGAGTGTAAATCACCATGCAGGGCAACCCGAAGGAAGAAAAGCCCTGACCCGAGACCTGTTCTTTTAGAAAACCCTCTCTGCTGGCAGCTTCCCTACTGGCCCCTGTTGTCCCTCCTTGTCCTGCAGACCAGAGCAGAGAGAGACAGTGAGGGTTCCTTACCAGAATGCTCCTATAACCTGGCCCAGCTCATGCTGATTCTCATTTTTAAGTTTTTGCCCCAAACCAGCCAATCTATTTCATGTCTAAACCCTGGACCACACAGGAAATCCATAAAGCCGTGCAGCTGAGGTCTCCCCACTTCCCTGGCAGGACTCCAGACTCAGAAAAGGGGCAGAAGCTTGGGAGCCAGCCAGGGCCTTAGCAAGGCCATGGGGAGAAGGCCCAGGGCCTCAGCAGTGTTTCTCCCCCCTTTTCTGGGAGCCCTAGGAGGTTAGGAACCTCCAAGACCCCTTTCTGCAGCTTTCTCTCTGCTCTGGCAGTGGGAAGCCGGGTGAGCCAAGAGTTGCATTATACCAAGGAGAAGCTGGGAGAGGAGGCGGCGTATACCTCCCAGATGTTGATTCAGACTCCACGCCAGGAGGGGGAGAACATCCTCACGCCTGAGGCGCTTGGCCTCCACCTCCAGGCAGCCCTCACTGCCAGTAAAGTTCAAGTATCACTCTATGGAAAGTGAGTCTGGCCAAGTCCCTGAGCGGCAGGGGAGGTGGGGGGCGGTGGTGTAAAGCGTGCTGTGACAGTGCTGGAGTGGGATTCCCCTTTTCTGCTGATTGCCTGTGCCCCTGGCTAATACAGGTCCTGGGATCTGAACAAAATCTGCTACAAATCGGGAGTTCCCCTCATTGAAAATGGAATGATTGAGCGGGTGAGTACTCTGGGCTGTTCCATGGACTAGGCAGAGGCAGGACATTTTCCTGAGTGTGGGAAGGCCCAAAGAGACACTGTGGCAGACACCAGAGCTGGGGCGGAAGTTAGGGACAAACCTTGGGAGGATTGCAGAGGGTATCTTACAGGTTGTGGAGAAAGRAGCCCAGGGAAGGACTGATGTGGCCTGTGGTATCCCTGGCAGATGATTGAGAAGCTGTTTCCGTGTGTGATCCTCACCCCGCTCGACTGCTTCTGGGAGGGAGCCAAACTCCAAGGGGGCTCTGCCTACTTGCCGTGAGTGCTGGCACAGCTGCTCCTGGGGTCCCACTTCATCTCCTGCCAGGGACTTCCCCAGAAGAAAGGAGGGGCAGGAGTAAAGAGGATGAAGAAAATCTCTCCAAGACTTCATTTCCTCTCAGGCCAGAGCCAAAACAGAGGGCCTAAGGCTCCACATCCCCCTTCTCCTCAGCTCTAAAGGAGAGAAAGACCTGTCTCATTTAGACAAACAACATAGATCTCAAGATCAACAGAGGAGAAAAAAGATCCCCAGAAAGAGACTTTGCTGGGGGGAGTTGGTTAGGTACCAGCTAAGCTRTTGCCTGAGCCAGAAGAAACCTGTTGTATACAGGTGCCACTCTGGTTGCATGTTAGAACCAAGGGTGTGCAGCTTGGTATGGATGTCATGGTGCTTTTCTGGGCCCTTTCCATGTATTAAGTACATCTGTCCTGATGTCCTTGTCAGCTCCTTATATCCATCCTCAGCTCATTCACTGCAGCAGCCTGGTGGGCTGACGCAACCTGGTTGCTCTGAGAAGCTGAGCCTTGCACACTCTCCACGTGGAAAGACTGATAAGCACATAAGAGGAGGGTGGGGTGCAGCATGGGTCCAGAGGAGCAGCTCAGATGGTGGGTATTGATCCCTGACCCTTGCTAACCATGGGTTCTCCCCCAGGGGCCGCCCTGATATCCAGTGGACCAACTTGGACCCAGAGCAACTGTTGGAGGAACTGGGTCCCTTTGCCTCCCTCGAGGGCTTCCGACAACTGCTAGACAAGGCACAGGTGGGCCAAGCCTATGTTGGGCGGCCCTGTCTGGACCCTAAAGACCTCCACTGCCCACCTAGTGCCCCCAACCATCACAACAGGCAGGTGAGCTCCAACCAGACAAAGAAAAGCTCTTTCCCTTCCCTCTCTCTCTCTCTGGCATGTGTCCCTCTGTTCTGAAAGAGAGCTGATTGTGTTCTGCCCCCACCATTTCCTGGACGATGACACTCTGCCCACACTGTGCTAACCCCCTGGAGTGTTCCATTCCCATTCATTTCTCCTAAGAAACCCTGAAGTGACCTATGAATCCTCTTCCTTTTTTAAGCCTAAAGCTAGACTTTATCAAAACAGTCTATACAAGGAAACTAAAAACACAATAGCTAAACATGAACATTTTACCTCCTTTCCCATGGGTCTGTGTGGCTCTGTGGGTGGTACTTTTCTCAACCTCCCCACATAGTTTTGCCATCCTCTCCCTGCAGCTTATGTTCAGGATTCTGCTCCCTCTTGTGGCCTCCTGCTTACAGGACACCTAGCTGTTCACTCACAGAGCAGGAAGGGATTCAAGAGACCAGTTACCTACACTCCAGGCCTGCTAAGCTCTGTGGCAGGCATGGTTCCTGGAGGTATGAGCCCAGGGACACAGTGATCCACCAGCAGGGTCTTGAGCAGTAAACCCTTCCCTTTTTCCCCTCCAGGCTCCCAATGTGGCTCAGGAGCTCAGTGGGGGCTGCCACGGCTTCTCCCACAAATTCATGCATTGGCAGGAGGAATTGCTGCTGGGAGGCATGGTCAGAGACGCCCAAGGACAGCTGCTGAGGTAGGGCCTCCTCCCCTGGGAATTGGTGACAGACCCCTTGCTTGGGAATCCACTCTATAGCAGGCAGCTCTGGGAAAAGCCTGCTGCATACCCCCACCAGTTGTTTGGGCCACCTCTGACCTCTAGTTCTCCTGCACCTCCACCAGGGCAGAGGCTCTGCAGAGCACCTTCCTGCTGATGAGCCCCCGCCAGCTGTTTGAACACTTCCGGGGCGACTATCAGACACATGACATTGGCTGGAGTGAGGAACAGGCCAGCACTGTGCTGCAAACCTGGCAACGGCGCTTTGTGCAGGTAAGCATGGACAAGGATGAGGCAGGGTGCCCTGAGGCCACTCCCTCTTCCCCTGCACTTCAGATCCACCCTGTCTCTCCAGCTGGCCCAGGAGGCCCTGCCTGAGAATGCATCTCAACAGATCCATGCCTTCTCCCCTACCACCCTGGATGATATCCTGCACGCATTCTCCGAAGTCAGCACAGCCCGTGTGGTGGGAGGCTATCTGCTGATGGTGGGTCCTGCCCTAGCACCTTGCCCCACCTCCACCCAGCACCCACCATGGAAGCCCCTCTCTGAGACTGTGCCCTTTCTCCCCACAGCTGGCGTATGCCTGCGTAACCATGCTACGGTGGGACTGTGCCCAGTCCCAGGGTGCCGTGGGCCTTGCTGGGGTATTGCTGGTGGCTCTAGCAGTGGCCTCTGGCCTCGGGCTCTGCTCCCTGCTTGGCATCACCTTCAATGCTGCCACTACTCAGGTACACCAGTTCTGCAGGGCTGACCTAGGGCTATCACAGGCTGTATAGTTCTTCCAGCTGCTCACTCCTCTACTCCTCCAGGTGCTACCCTTCTTGGCACTGGGCATTGGTGTGGATGACGTTTTCCTGCTTGCTCATGCCTTCACAGAGGCTCCTTCTGGTACCCCTCTCCAGGTAAGTCCCCATCCTTTAGCCCAGCCTCACCTGAGGTAGTTCAGCATACTGGTTAAGAGTCTCTAGGTTTGGCCACCCATAGTGGTGCACACCTGTAATCCCAGCAGCTCGGGAGGCCGAGGCAAGAGAATCATGAGTTCAAGGCCAGCCTCAGCAAAAGTGAAGCACTAAGCAACTCAGTGAAACCCTGTTTCTAAATAAAATACAAATAGGGCTAGGGATGTGGCTCAGTGGCCGAGTGCCCCTGAGGTCAATCCCTGGTACCAAAAAAAAAAATACAAAAGTGGGCTGGGTAGAGCATTTGCCTTGCAATAAACAAAATAAGGGTATTGTGTTCATCTACAACTAAAAATATTTCTAAATGGGGGGGGGGGCTGGAGATGTGACTCAGTGGTTGAGTGCCCCTGGGTTCAATCCCCAGTACCAAAAATAAATAGAGTAAAAAGAGAGAGAGAGAGAGAGAGAGAGAGAGAGAGAGAGAGAGAGAGAGAGAGAGAAAGAGCATCTCTAGGTTTAAGTGACATTGGCAACTAATTAACTTCTTTGTGCTTCAGCATTCCCATCTGTGAATAAGGGTAATAATAGTGCTTGTGTCCTAAGGTTTGTTGTAAGGATCAGTGAGATAATTCAGGGTGAGTGTACAGAATATCACATCACACATACGTGGCAATCAGTAAATATTAGCCACTGTGGTGTTATTGCCCCACTTCTACCATCCCAGTTCTGGAGACTCCCTTTCACTCTCCCTTAAAGACCATGGTCTGTCAGGCATGGTAGCACACACCTGTAATCCCAGTGGCTCAGGAGGCTGAGGCAGGACGATGGCAAGTTCAAAGCCAGCCACAGCAACTTAGCAAGGCCCAAAGCAACTTAAGTGAGACCTTGTCTCAAGAAAAAAAAAGGGCTGGGGATGTGACTCAGTGTTTAAGCGCCTCTGGCTTCAATCTCCAATCCCCAATACCAAGGAATAAAGAAACACACACACACACACACACACACACACACACAAAAGCCATGGTTCCCTCCTCCCCATGACCTGAGGGCATGTCCCTGCTGTATCCTGGCAGGAGCGCATGGGTGAGTGTCTGCAGCGCACAGGCACCAGTGTTGCCCTCACGTCCATCAACAACATGGTTGCTTTCTTCATGGCTGCCCTAGTTCCCATCCCCGCACTGCGAGCCTTCTCCCTGCAGGTGAGCCATCATAAACAGGCAGTTAGACTGGGGTGGGTATGGGGCCTGAGGTGTGCTTCATCGAGCCTTCGTGCCCTCCTGCCCACCCGCAGGCTGCCATAGTAGTGGGCTGCAACTTCGCAGCCGTGATGCTTGTCTTCCCAGCTGTCCTCAGCCTGGACCTGCATCGGCGCCACTGCCAGCGCCTTGATGTGCTCTGCTGCTTCTCTAGGTACTGTCCCTGTGAGCCCACCCCTCTCCTCCCATGAACCCACCCCAGCTTGTCCCCTCATAGGCATTTCAAGGCAGGGACCAACCTGTCATCCACACTCTCTGCTTCTTCTAGCCCCTGTTCTGCTCGAGTAATTCAGATTCTGCCCCAGGAGCTGGGAGATAGGACAGTGCCAGTGGGCATTGCCCACCTGACCACCACGGTACAAGCTTTCACCCACTGTGAAGCCAGCAGCCAGCATGTGGTCACCATCCTGCCTCCTCAAGCCCAGCTGGTACCCCCACCTTCTGACCCACTGAGCTCTGAGCTCTTCAGCCCCGTGGGGTCCACACGGGACCTTCTAGGCCAAGAGGAGGGAATTGGGCCAAAGGCAGCCCGCAAGTCCCTCCCTTGTGCCCGCTGGAATCTTGCCCATTTCGCCCGCTATCAGTTTGCACCTCTGCTGCTCCAGTCACATGCCAAGGTGAGACTGGGTGGGGGAGGCCAGAGGCTCAGTATTTGTGGGTCCCAAGAAGGGCAGAGGGCATGGCCTACTACCTGAGGATGGGAGGACAGCCCTGGGCCCCCGGCTTAGTTGCTGTTTCCCACAGGCCATAGTGCTGATGTTCTTTGGGGCTCTTCTGGGCCTGAGCCTCTATGGAGCCACCTTGGTGCAGGACGGGCTGGCCCTGACAGACGTGGTGCCTCGGGGCACCAAGGAACATGCCTTCCTGAGCGCCCAGCTCAGGTACTTCTCCCTGTATGAGGTGGCCCTGGTGACCCAGGGTGGCTTTGACTACGCTCACTCCCAACGTGCCCTCTTTGATCTGCACCAGCGCTTCAGTTCCCTCAAGGCTGTGCTGCCCCCGCCTGCCACCCAGGCACCCCGCACCTGGCTGCACTATTACCGCAACTGGCTACAGGGTGAGAGGCCAGGAGATTGGCAGGGAGTGTTGCTGCAGGGAAAAGCCCCCTCTGGCCACAGGCTAATTGGGCCCTAACCTATTCCCTAGGAATCCAGGCTGCATTTGACCAGGACTGGGCTTCCGGGCGCATTACCTACCATTCATACCGCAATGGCTCTGAGGATGGGGCCCTGGCCTACAAGCTGCTCATCCAGACTGGGAATGCCCAGGAGCCTCTGGATTTCAGCCAGGTTGGAAGAGGGCTAGAATAGTCAGGGAGCACAGAGGGGCTCTAGATCTCATGGCCAAGGCCTTCAGCCCTCTCTGCCTCTACAGCTGACCACAAGAAGGCTGGTGGACAAGGACGGACTGATTCCACCGGAGCTTTTCTACATGGGGTTAACTGTGTGGGTGAGCAGTGACCCCCTGGGTCTGGCAGCCTCACAGGCCAACTTCTACCCCCCACCTCCTGAATGGCTACATGACAAATATGACACCACTGGGGAGAACCTTCGCAGTGAGTCCTGGGGGGAGCTCACCTAGAGCCGTGGCCCTGACCCTAAGCCCTGCCCACTGTTCCTGTGCTCACCGTCTGCCTCCCTCTGCCCACTCTCTCCTCCCCTCCACAGTCCCAGCAGCCCAGCCCCTGGAGTTTGCCCAGTTCCCATTCCTACTGCGTGGCCTCCAGAAGACTGCAGACTTTGTAGAGGCCATCAAGGGGGCCCGGGCAGCATGCACTGAGGCAGGCCAGGCAGGGGTACGTGCCTACCCCAGCGGCTCCCCTTTCCTCTTCTGGGAGCAGTACCTGGGCCTGCGGCGCTGCTTCCTGCTGGCTGTCTGTATCCTGCTGGTGTGCACCTTCCTGGTCTGTGCCCTGCTGCTATTCAACCCCTGGACAGCTGGCCTCATAGTGAGTACCTGCAGGGGTGGGGTCAGAGAGACTCAGTGGCAACTCACCCTGCCCTGTCCAGCCTGACATTCCTCCTGCCAGGAGCCCCCAATGAGCCCTCTCCTCCCCAGGTGCTGGTCCTGGCGATGATGACTGTGGAACTCTTTGGTATCATGGGTTTCCTGGGCATCAAGCTGAGTGCCATCCCCGTGGTGATCCTCGTGGCCTCTATAGGAATTGGTGTCGAGTTCACAGTCCACGTGGCTCTGGTGAGCACAGGCACTGGGGGAGGGTTGGGCCGCTGACTCAGTATTCAACAAATATGTTTCAAGCACCTCTGTGAGAGGCACTATTTAGGAACTGGAGCTGGGCCAGGCAAGATGGCACAAGCTTGTAATCCCACCTACTTGGGAGGCCAAGGCAAGAGGATTGAAAGTTCAAAGCCAGCCTGGGCAACTTATCAAGACCTTTTCTCAAAAAATGAAAAGGGCTAGAGATGCAGCTTATGGGTAGAGCACTTGCCTAGAGCACAGGAGACCCTGTGTTCATTCCCCAGCACTGCAAGAAGCAGCAGGGGAGCGGGGACATAGATGCTAGAAACAAGGAAGGCACAGGCCTCCCTCAAAGTTGTGTGTTCTCTGACAGAAGAATGGGGCTCAAACCAAGTGGAAACACCAACACAAACCAACCAGGCCCCACAAACAACTCCTGTGTTTTACCCACACATAACCCTATTATTACTCTGATTATAAAAATGATATATGTTCCTGAACAGGACAACAAAAGGGCAGGGGATGTGGTTCAGTGGTTGAATGCTTGCCTAGCACAGATGTGGCCTTGGGTTCAGTCTCCAGTAACCCCCTGAAAAGCTAGTGTGTGGAACAATACAAAAACAGAATTTGAAATCCTGTGAAATGCCACCCTAAGAAATGACTTACCACCTCAGTGCCCATTCTTTTCAACCAAGGGTTGCCAAAATTTTTCTGTTAAGGGCCAGTTAGTAAATATTTCAACTTAATGGGCCATAGAGAATCTGTTGAAATTGTGCCATCATAGAACAAACACAGCCATAGACAACAATATATTGATGAACTTAATTTACAAGACACAGTGACAGACTATACTTTGTCCACTCTGTTTTGGACATCTTTCTGTGTCATCAGACACATCTATACAGCGTCACCTAAATGGACTCATGCATGCTTCCAGACCATTTCCATGAACGCAGTTCACATGATCTTCAGAGGGCAAAGGCATAGGTGAACCCTGAGGCCATTTAAGTAGCAGTTGGGGACATGGGTGAGCTAGCCATGGTTGGCAGAGGAGGAGCTCCAAGACCACTCTGTTCCCCCAGGGTTTCCTGACCGCCCAGGGTAGCCGGAACCTGCGGGCTGCCCGTGCCCTTGAGCACACATTTGCCCCTGTGACTGATGGGGCTGTCTCCACTTTGCTGGGCTTGCTCATGCTTGCTGGTTCCAACTTTGACTTCATCATAAGGTACTGTTGGGCTCTGAAGGAGGTGGGATTTGCCTGTGATGCTCTCAGGGCCTGCCCTGCTGACTCCTTACCTCCCCCAGGTACTTCTTCGTGGTGCTGACAGTGCTCACACTTTTGGGCCTCCTCCATGGGCTCGTGCTGCTGCCTGTGCTGCTGTCCATCCTAGGACCCCCACCAGAGGTGACCACTCCCTTCCTTTGCTCCCAGCCCCAGAGACAGGGTAGGGACAAGCATAAGAAGGGGTAAATTACTAAATATCCTCAGAAGTCAACAAACTGGGCCAGGCATGGTGTTGCTCGCCTGTAATCCCAGCAGCTAGAGAGGCTGAGACAGGAGGATCATGAGTTCAAAGCCAGCCTCAGCAAAAGTGAGGTGCAAAGCAACTCAGTGAGACCCTCTCCCAACAAAATACAAAATAGGGCTGGGATGTGGCTCCAGTAGTTGAGTGCCCCTGAGTTCAATCCCCAGTACCCTCCCAAAAAAAGTCAATAGACAGGGCCCAACTCACAAGGGCCCTCCTAAAATGTGCCACCAGCTAAAATGGTAGTAGCGTCTACCTTTCCCCTAACACCATACTCCTTCCTAGGATCCAGAAGAAGGTGCAGGGTTTGCCCCAGACCTTGATAACTTGTCACTTGTGAGCTCTTATAATCTACTAGAGGCCAACGAGGACCCAGCTTACCAATGATCATGTTGATCACCAGATGGGTGCAAAGGACTCTGAAGTCCCAGTACCCATGGGCTCATTGTTATTGGTGTCTTCCCTACAGGTGGTGCAGATGTACAAGGAGAGCCCACAGGTCCTGAGCCCTACAACTCCAAGGGGAGGCACGCTCAGATGGGGGATGACCCCCACCCTACCACAGAGCTTTGCCAGAGTGACTACCTCCATGACCGTGGCCTTGCACTCACCCCCACTACCTGGCGCCTATATCCACCCAGCCTCTGCTGAGCCCACATGGTCTCCTGCTGCCACCCCAGCTGCCAACAGCTCTGCTACTGAGTGAAGAAGGAGCTGAAGGACAAAGACCCTGCTTGGGCCACATGAAGTCACTGGGAAGCAACGGCTGGGGTATTGAATGCAGCTAAAATGCATTCAATACCCTGGAGGGCCCGGCCACTGCTGTCTGCACCCCGCCTCTGGATCAGCCATCACAGACCTCCCTGGTATCCACATAGAATGACCACCCCTGACAGCAGCCCAGCAACCAGTGCTCTTCTGTACCCATGGCTGCCACGTGGGAAGGAAAGCCAGCATTTTCGGCTGCAGTGCAGCCCTGTCCCCCTCCTGCACACTGCTGCCCACCCACTAGACCAAGCCTGAGGGATCCTCAAGCACACTTTGCTAGTCGTGCCTCACTGCTTGTTGACTCCTGGGTAGGCTCCTCTGCATTCCTGCACACCTCCTACCACATAAATTATTTATATGAAGATTTTTATTTTTTTAGTATATATAGATGTTAGCTGTTCTGAAAGTTTTATTTTTAAAGAGTGAAATATATTGTATATGAACTCTTCTCAAGTGACTGGTGGTGCTTGTGTTAGCTTTCTGTTATTGTGACAAAATACCTGAGAAAATCAACTTGAAAGATTTATTTGAGCTCATGGTTGTAGAGGTTTCTGTCTATGGTTGGTCCACTCACTTTTGGGCCTATGGTAAGGCAGAACATCATGGTGGTACAAGTGCGTGGTGGAGGAGGTTGTGCATTTCAGGTGGCCGGGAAGCAGAAACAGAGCAAAAGAGGAAGGGTCAGGGGGCCAAATATACCCTTCAAGGGAAGACACCCAGTGACAACCTACTACTTCCTCTGACTAGGCACCACCCCACCTTTGTGTGTGTGTGTGTGTTGCCAAGGATTGAACCCAGGGCCTCATGTATACTAAGCAAGTGATCCTCCTGTTTCAGCCTCCCAAGTAGCTGGGATTACAGTGTGTTCCCCCACACCCAGCCCAAAGATCCCATTTCTGAATACTGCTACACTGGGCACCAAGCCTTCAACAACTGAACTTTTGGGGAACATCCCAGATCCAAACCATTTAATATTCTGCCCTTAGCCCTCAAAATATGCATTTAATTCCTCTCCAAGTGTTCCCATGGTCTCAACAGTCCCAGTACTGCTCAAAAACCCAAAGTCTCCTCTGAGACTGAAGGGCAAACTCATAGCTGTGAGTCCCTGTAAAACCAAAAAGAAAGTTATATAACTTTATGATACAATGGCAGTAAGTAAACATCTCCATCCCAAAAAGGGAAGAACTGGAAATTGGTAAAAGGAATCAGACCAAAGTGAGACAAGGCAAGACAAGGCAGTGGCATGATGTGAGTGCCAAAGGACTTGGGCAGCCTCTCCCTCTATACCCTTGCTGCTTTTTTTTAATTTATAATTAGATACAATACCTTTATTTTATTTATTTTTATGTGGTGCTGAGGATCGAACCCAGTGCCTCGCACATGCTAGGCAAGAGCTCTACCCGTGAGCCACAACCCCAGCCCAACCTTGCTGACTTATAAGACAATTTCTTGGGTTGTCTCTACTCACCACTCACAGTTGGGTTCTTGCCCATCTCCAACTTCCTTGTGTCTCCATGGCAGCTTTGACTTCGTTGATAAACACCTTCATGCATGACCCTCTCAGAGGAGGCTCTTTTCAGGATTTCCTTTGAAATATTGGGGGAAGCCTCCATGACCCCTCAACTCTGCATTCTGCATGCCTGAATAAACAGCACATGGACGATGTCAAAGTCTGTGGCTGGATAGACTGGAGCAGGACCCAGGCCTTTTTGTACTAAGGGTGAAGCAACCTCTGAGTTGTTCGATGGCTGAACATGGGAAAATAAATCCCAAGAAACAAATTCCCTACATGGCCCTATTCCAGCAGGACTCCCCAGGGAGTCAAAGTAAAGTCAAACAAGTTTACATTTTTATACCCTTGAGTCTGTGATGGATGAGGTCTAGCCAATTCCTGAGATGCCCACTGCCCCATTGCCAGTCATGGTGTTAATCTCTTTAGTGACCACACACTCCTTAACCAGAATTTTTTGTGTGTGTGTGTGGGGGGGGGGGGGGTTGGGGATTGAACCCAGGGCCTTGTGCATGCAAGGCAAGCACTCTACCAACTGAGCTATATCCCCAGCTTAACCATAATTTTATATGTGCTTCTTTTCTGGCTGAACTGAGTTTTTTCAAATCTTTCCATTGTGCTTTTTGCTTTCTGTAAATATGGCTAAAAGCAGTAGCAATACCCATGCACCAGCCTGAACACTCTCCTCCCTTGAAAGTGTCTCTTAATTAGGCCATCATTGTTAAAAAAATATTTTTAGTTGTACATGGACACAATAATTTAATTTAATTTATTATTTTTTTAATGTAGTGCTGAGAACCAAAACCAGTGCCTAACAGGCGCTCTACCACTAAGCTGCAACCCCAGCCCTAGCCCATTATTTTTAAATTCAGTCTCACACAAAGTCTCAGGGCATGAACAAAATGTAAACAAAGTCTTTGCCAGAATGTGACAGGAATGGCCTTTGGTCTAAACTTCCAAGAGTACTCATTCTCATATGAAATCTGAAAAGAACACCCTTTATTCTCCATATTCCTATAAACATTCTGGTTTACTGAACTCCCAGAAGAATCACACATCACCATGCATGGTGTTACATGCCTGAAATACCACCAGCTCAGGAGGCCGAGACAGAGGATTGAAAAGTCAAAACCAAACTCAGCAATTTAGTAAGAACCTAAGCAACTTAGTGAGATCCTGTCTCAAAATAAAAAATAAAAGGGCTAGGGATGTGGTTCAGTGGCTAAGGCATCAAAAAATAATATTTTTGATGTCAAACTGTACTGTGTGGTTTTTCAGAGAAATCATTTTCCAACTCTGCTCACCTCTTCACACTTACTTCCCACATTCCTGCATCATTGGCATGTGGGGCAGGGGTAGAGGGGCAACACCAAGGTCAGTGAAGTCACCAGAAGGTAAAGTGGAAGCAGATCAGGCAAGTGGCCAATCAAAGCAGAGCTGGGGAAACAGAACCTAAGAATATGTTTCAGGCAGTTTGTGAGCTGGAGGACAGGAGCCTGGGCCCAGAGCAAACTTCAAGGCAGAGAGAGCCTCTGCATACCAGCCCGACAACAGGGAGGCATATTTGACCACCAGCTAGTTAGATGGGTGGAACCATCCAGATATTTAGCAACAATCAGCACAGTTTAAATTCAGTGCCTTTACTGTGAAGATTAACCAGCCCCATTGTACAGAGGCCTTGATGAGTCTGAACACACCCCTGGGCTCGAGTACAGAGCCTCATCCAGTGGGTCAGAGTATCTCTTTTATTGCCCTTCTCAGAACACTCATCCTTGGGCTAGATATAAACCCTGGATTCCATCCACCTACTCAGCAGGAATGATCCCATCCAAATATACTTCTAACACCCCACCCAAAACCAGATAAATCCCCAGCCTCCATAATTTCGCATTCACCATTTCCTCATGTTCTGATTGAAAGTTATAAACGTACACACACACACACACACACACTCAGCCTACAGCAGATGAATCAACACTACAACTGAAGTGAGGGGGGAAAGCAGTTGGCTTAAAATCCAGTGTGAGGGGTATATCCCTCATGTCCAAGGGATGGAGGCCAGATATGAATCAAGTAGTGGTTAGGTACCAGGGATTGAACTCAGGGGCACTTGGCCACTGAGCCATATCCCCAGCCCTATTTTATATTTTATTTAGAGACAGGGTCTCACTGAGTTGCTTAGCACCTCATTTTTTCTGAGGCTGGCTTTGAACTCTCCATCCTCCTGCCCCAGCGTCCCCAGCTGCTGAGATTACAGGTGTCTATCACCACACCCACTTAGGGAGGGGCTTTTGAGTGAAGCAGGGAGGGCTCAGCAGACCAGAATAGTGTAAAAGATGTAAAATCACCGTATCACTAACCACTGAAAAATCTGGCCAAGTTGGCTAACTACTGATCTCGAGCCTCAGCAGAAGATTAGAGACTATTTTGTAGGGTGTCCCCACTTTCCACAGTGCTGAGGATCAAACCTTGGGCCTTGCACATGTTAGGCAAGAACTTTACCACTGAGCTATACCTCAGTCCTTTTCAGGCTTTTTATTTATTTATTTTGTATTGAGGATTGAACCCAGGGCCTCATACAAGCTAGGCAAGTGCTCCTTTCCTGGTACTGGGAATTGAACCCAGGAGAACTTACTACTAAGCTACATCTCTAGCCCTTTTTATTTCTTATTTTCAAGCCAGGCTGGGTATGTACATCCATTCTTCCTGCTTCTGTCCATCCAGTAGCTGGGATTTCAGATGTGTAATCCTGTGTAATCCTGCCTGGCTCTTTTCAGGATTCCCCCTACCGGAGTACTGGGAATTGAACCCAGGGGTGCTTAACCACTGAGCAACATCCCCAGCCTCCATAACTTCGCATTCACCATTTCCTCTGCCTTAGAGCACTGTCCCATCCCTCCTTAACCACTGGAAATGAATTAGATGTCATCTTCTCCAGGAGGGGTGGTGATGTGCTTCCTACAAGGTCCCACTCCCCTTGAGTTCGATGCTTGGCTTTTAGCTGCTGTTTCCCTAGGGCTGGGAGTTCCCTGCGGGTTAGAAACAAGAGGATGGAACCCTAATTGGGACTATCAATTTACCATTCCCATCCCCCCATGAGGGATTCGGCACCAATAACCTGTAACCCGTGGGAAATGCCCGCACCTCTCCGGGCAGACGAGTGCAGTCCCAGGCAGACTACAGGGAAGATGGAGAGTGAGAGCAGAGGCCCGCGGGGCTCCACGTCTGGCGCCAGTGGACCTATCAGGTCCCACAGCTGGTACATGGACCGTCCCAGAGACGCCTCAATTTGCATACCCATGGTGCACCACGAGAAGACAGCTTCGCGACGCCTGGGTTCCATCTCAAAGGGGTCGTCTCCACAATTGTAGGACGTGATGCCTGTTGAAAATCTACGTATATATAAACTGCAGCCACAAAGCGGGTGCAGAGCAGGCGCTGAATCACCATAAGTATATTAAGTGTTGTGTCTCCCTGGGAGATTGGAAGTGAGCCATGTTCCTCATACTCTGGTTTCTCTTCAGATCGTATAAATCTTTCGCCTTTTACTAAAGATTTCCGTGGAGAGGAACAATTATGAGTCATTGACCAATTTTTTGAGGTCTCACATTTTGTGAGGCTAACTCTTAAGAGTTTAAGATCAGACTTTAAAGACTGCTTATCTGTAACCTTTGCTTATCTGTAACCTTATGTTCTGTAGTCAGGTTTTTTTTTTTTTTAAAACCCGGGTATCTCAAGCCTCAACTAGAGAAGTATTCTGTGTTTTGTGCTGTGCATTAGGTTTTTAGAGGGTTACTTTCCTGCTGAATCACGTCCTCAGATCCTACCCTTGCTTCTCATAGATTTGTGGGGTTTTCCCCATCATCTTTATTGAGATA